AAATCTTAAAACAAACAAAAAAATAAACAAAAATTTAATTTTGCAAATGCATACTCAATCAGCAATAAGGAACACATTCACTTTGCTAAAGGCAATGAGTACTGAATGTCTGTTGATGTTTAGATTTCATACAATCAGGTAAATTTGTTTATCAAGAAATGTTGAATTCTTGATTTCTAAATGACTATGTTACAAGAAACTAATTTCTACCGGTGATTTTATTTGATTATTTCAAAAAGTAATCTTGTTTTTCTACTTCAATGTGCTTGTACATTTGTCTAAATCTTTTTTCACTTAAGACACTTAAGATAATGGTTTGTTGAAAATTTGAGTCACACACTGTCAAATAAAATTTCATCCATTTCAACAATCAATGTGTGGGGGAGGCAGGCAACAGACCCAGAGAAAGATCTCTGAGTCATCACAAATCCAAACTACCACAGGGAAGGTGAAGTGGGGAAAAGCTTGGAGGAAAAGTTGTAGCAAACCACAAGGTGACCCATGCAAATCAAGGGCCTTTTAGCTACCTGCCATAAGAGTTGGAGGCCACCAATCACTAATTATGAAATATTTCTGAGTTAAACCAACCGAATAAAATCTATTAAATGATGTTGATGTATTACCGGGCATTTGACGCATACAACAGAGAATAGACCGTGCAATAACACCAAAATCTTCAGCTCCCTTTTTCAATCCTCTATTCACTGCTTCCACTATAGCTTTTGGGGACACTCTCTCCTGGTCTGGAAAGGCTGAGTTTTCTGTACAAAGAGCATGAGGACTGTAGCGAACTTCAAAGTACAGGACACCACTTCCTGCCTTCAGGATCTTCACAAAACTCATATGCTATTCTTTCCATTGCTTCAGTATCATTTCTGAGTTTGAAAAAAAAAAAAAATTAAGAAAGAAAATCATTAAGTTTTATTGACAAGAGTAGGTAAATTATTGTACAGCTTTCAACTCCTCAAAAACCCTTTAAAATCGTAATCTAAACTGACTTCAATCAATTACCCCACGAAATTCCATTAGTGACCAAGACAGTGACAACACAGTATCAAACAGTTAAGGGAATAAAAGAAAATATTAGTCAGGGGTGTTATAAGCTGATCCAATACTGAATTCTCTGAGCCCACATCACAAGAATTGTAAAGAAGACAAGACAATAACAAGAATTAGTATATACCAAAACAGTGGATAGCATTGAAGGAAAGCTCTGATTGGCTAGTCAAACTCCAAATATCCTTTGCTATTTACCTCTGAGCAACTCGGGAAAAAATGGCGAGGGT